CAAAGCCATTAAAATGAGGTGATTTCAGCAAATGCTTACACTGTGACATGTCACATGACTGGGTAGCACCGTAGCTCTTTAAGCTCTTCGTACGGTCATTACGGCACTATGAGACAATGGCCCAAAAGCAGCTCAATTCACGTATTACACTAAGCCTACCACATCTGTGAGGTCAGACCCAGCCATCCAGCAACACACACATTCACACTCTGTTGAATAAGAAAAGAGCAGCATCAGTGGTGGGGTGTGTGATTGAACCCAGTGATTCAAATACTTTAAATCTGTTCAGCAAAAAGTGTTTCGTTTTTTTTTAAATAAAATTTTTATATCTACAGTTCTACAAAGAGGCGTGAGAAAACGTTTTTAAGTGCACTGTAAAAATTAGTGTAATTTTAACTGTAAAATATTGAAAAAATAAACTGTTAAAACAGATTTTAGTAGCCGTGTGCTTTCTTGAATTTACTGGTTTACATTCAAATTTTCTTATTTATAAATTACAGTTTTATACTGTAAACTTCACAGTTTGTTTTGTAAAATGTGTTTACAGTTTTTCTGTATTTTTTTACAAAAATATTCTGGCAATCAAAGCTGCCAAAATTATTATGTAAAAACTACAGAACTTTTTTTTTTTTTAATAGTATATGATTTAACAGCTTTTTGGCCACAAAAGGCAAGAAAGCAGAGGCATTTTGAGGAAGCGGCGACAAATGAGAATATGGCTATTATTCCATCCACCTTGATGCGCTCAACTGAGTATATAAGAAGACACAAACATTAAATTATGATGGAAACATTGCACCTTACATTAAAAATGCACCTCCAAAAATGTGACTTTTTCAGCACACCAATCTGATCGCACACTCTCTCAAATGTTATTTTATGAATTCTAAAATACCTGTCATCAAAATGATTTGGTATAATCACCCACAATTGAATTCCCGAACAACAGGTATCCGAACGTAAGATAATATGACAGTGTTTGTTATTGCGTGTGTAGTCTGTGCACTCCGACACTTTCCAATGAAAAGTGACACCAGCACCTCTTTTGCCTCCTTAAGCTTTAAAATAAACATGTAAAACATGTAAAATATTTAAAAAGGCAAAAGTCAATAAGACTTTTATGAGATTCGATTTTAATAAATACTACGTTAATATAAACCTGTAATATTGGTGCTTGTTGAGCATAAGATAAATGGTAAAACTGTGTAAACATCAAATGGAACTGAAACAGGAATTTGCATGGGACTAAAAAAAAACTCAAGGGGCTCTGGCACCTCATTGTTGAAGTCCACCACACAGTCTAACTATATCAATATTCAAGTAAACAGTCTAAAAATGGCACTAAGCTGGCTGATTAAGTGACTCTGGAGGAGGAATTAAAGAACAAAAGGAGGCTACTCAGTAGAAAGGTTACTCATCACTTAGCAGACAAACGGAAAAGGGGAGATGAAGTCATCAGGGCTGATATCAGAACCCATTGCGCTGGCTGATTTGACTCAGGAATCAGGAGAACAGCTGAAGTGGTTCACAGAAAAAGAAGGTCACACTGTGACACAGCTCCTGGAACGGCACAGTACATTAAGACAGTGCAAGACTCACACTGCTGTCTCACCCGAGAGGACCAGACGCTTCTCAAGACGAGTTTTCAGAGAGTAAAATATTAGATGAGCATTAATACTGAACTACGCTGGAATAAAAGATCTAAAAATCTGAAACTGGGTAATAATGGTTGGAGCATTTGTATCTAGCCCCATTCCACTTGTTTACAGACTGGAGAGGAGGGGGAAAAAATCTAACTTTATTAGCAATGCAGGCATTAAAAAAATCATCAAGGTAAACACGAAATGCTCTACTCAAGTACCTAGTAGAACGCAGAAGTACATAATGATATTTTTGCATTCTGAACAAAGCACTCAGTTCTTTTAAGCAAATCAGAAACAGCATTGTTATTATTTAAAAAAATAATTTTACTGACCTTTTAATATCGCTTGTATCAAAGATATTTATCTCGCTGACAATTAATACTTTTCTGTTTCCTTTTATTTTTGTATATTTGTCTGTACCGGTACTGTTTATGTTCTTTTTGGACCATGTTTGCTGATCAAGTTTATGCTGTATAAGAAAACTAAATTAAATAATAAAATTAAATAAATAAACAAATAATTTCTGTGAACTGAAATAAAGCTGAAATACAAAATGCATAAATAAACATATTAGATGAAAAAATACAATTGGAACTGTTGCCTTGCCAACTAATTGAAATAAAATAAGTTGAAGTACTAAAATTACTAAAAACAAAAATTGAATTAAATTAAATCTATTTTTTAAGTTATATTTATGGGCTTTTTACGCCTTTATTGTGAGAGGACAGTGGAAAGCTGACAGGAAAGCACTGGGAGGAGAGAGGGGAGCAGGATCGGCAAAGGACCTCGAGGCAGGATTCGAACTCGGGCTGCCGACTCACTAACCACAATGCTATGGGCGCCGACAAATTAAATCTATTTTTTAAAATGTAATACATGTTTAAATAAAAATGTTTTTTTAAAAAGTGCATAAAATTACTAAAACGGAGAATGTATCAATAAAAGTTCATTTTAAAACAAAGTATAAAAAAATAGTATACCAGTATACATTTAATACTAAAATATTTGAAAACAGTGTAGCCTGATTCCTGAATATCAGTCAATTATTTTTAAAAGTTCAAAAAGACAAGTTATCAGTTAGAATCAGTCTAAAACCCTGTATAAAGCATTAACAAAGACTGAATTTATTTATTTTTTTTACATATGTGAGCAAAATGAACATTATAACTGAAATATAACAAAATGAATCGTAATCAAAAAATAGGAATCAAAGAGAGAAAATAAAATCTTCTAATTCGTGACCGGCTTTTTGTTTTGCTGTCTCTCCGTCGCACTTCCGCGTTCGTCACTTCTCACCGGCGTGTGTGCGACGCGTACGTCCTACGTCATCCGCCCGGAACGGCTTGCACGTATGACAGTAAGCAGAAGTGAGAAAAAAGTATTCATAATATTTTAAATATGGATATTTTTCATACAAAAACGCATCGATTCACTACAGGAGCCGTGTGAGGCACGTTTTATTATGGATGCGCGTGATTTATTTGATTACTTTTGGACTGTTGAACAAAAACACCCACCTACTCCCATTCTAAAGCTTGGAAGAGCAAGGATCATTTTTAATATAACTCCGATTGGATTCGTCTGAAAGAAGAAAGTCATATACACCTAGAATGCTTTGAGGGTGAGTAAAACATGGGCTAATTTTCATTTTTGGGTGAATTAACCCTTTAACACCACTTCCACTAAAAGGCACTCAAATCAACGCTGTGTTAATGCCCAATATGACTCAATTGGAGGTAAACCGTATGGGCAAAAAGAGTTTCAACCTGCTTTCCACCCGCACCAGCTCGTTTGATACAGCCACGACGCCAAACGTCCAGTTGCATTATTACAGAGACTCTGTCTGCAAAGAGGACGATCTCCCATGTGGTGGCCAGGTCCTCTGCCATTCCCCAGTCACAGCTATGAGTGCTGAACATCTGAGGGTAGAGTTTTTTGGGCATGTTGATGAGCAAAGAACATATGAGCAGAGACAGGTGGGTGCAGGGAAACAGCTGACTGACTGACATACAGACACACAACACAGTTCAGCACAACATAGGACGTCTCTTGTCTGCCGCCACATATGCTAGCCTCAGCTAAGGAGAGAAAGATAAGGGATGAAATGGGACTGGACTCGAGGACAGTGACGTCTACTCTGTCACAATGTACAGCCTTGGACTCAGCATGTCTTTGAAAAAGGCAGTTTTAATGGGCACTGGGAGCATATGAGGTCTCCAAAGCTAGAAACTAAACCAAACGCAAAGCTGAATTACTCAAACTTCAAACTGATGCACCCTTGACGACTCTTCAAATCAAAACTAGATGAGCGAGAGCCCTTAAAACAACCACAGCGCAAAGTGTTCTGCATGACAATGAGCTGCAGGGCCTTGTATAAATCTCCCTATTTAAAGTTTACCCGACGTGCCACTGTTTCGTTAGCGAATTTCCCATTCAAACTTTGCATTTAAATAAAAATAAACAATTGCAATAAGTCATAATTATGTTTAGTCAGTATGTAAATGCGCACTGCAGTCATTGATATGGCAACCAGTCTTTACCGGCGTGTTCATGTTACATGGAGGGTGACCACATGCTGTGTCCAGTGATTGTAATACATCTGGCTTGGGAACTAACAACCGAGTACAGCAAAGATCCATATGCGGGAGAAAGCAGGTTTGCATGTTTGTGTAAATTCAGGCAATCATCTGGCAAATGAAGGTTTGATGACACTTAAGTGCTTCAGCATGAGTCAAGAGTTCATGCAAACTCATGTCATGTTTCAAATCCACGACACAGTTCTCGCAAATGAGAAATGCTATCGCCAGGGCTGGCTGAAGCATTCATGGTCTTGACATGCCCAGAGACTCATAACAATAACATTTCGCTAAACTGCTTAACAATTGACAATGTAGCCTGGTCTGCAGCAAAATATAACCATCTAAATTGTCGTTTATAACCTGTCTATCAGATGGCATAAACCAATATGTTTTAAGATATAACCTATATTAAGTACCTTGTGCCTTAAAATGACAATGTAATTTCCATTGAGACCTCTTCTTGGCTTGAAGTGACAACACACCAAATGTCAAATTTTAAAAAAGTTGATTATGACCAGAAAACTGCCAGTAGGTCAAATAAGTAGCAGACTACTTATCCAGTCGGAATATAGCCTCAAGTATTTCATTTTAATAGTTAAATAGAAACGTTTCAGTTTCACAGTTATGATTTTTAAAGAGTTGACAATTTGTCTTGCACTTCAGTTCGAATTCAATTGTTCATCTAAAATTATCAATAAATCATGATTTGTATTGTGATATAACATTAAAAGGCTCATACCAATGTCTTTAAGTGTTTTAATAGTGTGTAGAAACCCACCCAGTGCGCTTGGTGATGGTGCCCAAGGTCATCGGCTGCTTGATTTGAGCCAGTGGAAGCACGACCGTCAAACTGGGTAATGGAGACAGCCGTGGGTTACCCATGTTGTTGTTGGTGAAGTTGTTAAAGGATTCTTGACTGGTGAGTTTGGCTATGAAAGAAAAGGGAGAAAGAAAAATGAAGAATGTGAGTTTGTATTAACATAAAAAATTCGATAGGTCACATATTTTTTAAGCTAATACTTTTTTTTTAGCAAGGATGTATTAAGAATGATCAAATAAGAGTAAACAAAACCAGTCTTAAGTCGCTGGGGTATATTTGTAGCAATAGCCAAAAATACATTGCATGGGGCAAAATTATTTATTTTTCTTTTATGCCAAAAATCATTAGGATATTAAGTAAAGATCATGTTCCATGAAGATATTTTGTAAATTTCCTACTGTAAATATAAATAAAACTTATTTACTGTAAATAAAACTTAATTTTTTATTAGTAATATGCATTGCTAAAGACTTCATTTGGACAACTTTAAAGGCGATTTTCTCAGTATTTTGATTTTTTTGCACCCTCAGATTCCAGATTTTCAAATAGTTGTATCTCGGCCAAATATTGTCCTATCCTAACAAACCATACATCAATGGAAAGCTTATTTATTCAGCTTTCAGATGATGTATAAATGTAAATTTCAAAGTTTTACAAATTCCCTTATGACTGGTTTTGTGGTCCAGGGTCACATTTATACATTTTACGTGAGATTTCAATTTGTTTTAAACTTTCGATTCATCAAAGATTCCTTAAGTCTTAAGTCACCAAATCACATATTAGAATGATTTCTGAAGGATCACTGATGACTGAAGTAATGGCTGCTGAAAATTTGGCTTTGCCATCACAAGAATAAATGACATTTTAAAATTTGTTAAAACGGTTATTTTAAACTACAATAATATTTCACAATGTTCCTGTTTTTCCTGTATTTTTGATCAAATAAATGCGGCCTTGGTGAGCATAAGCGACATCTTTCAAAAACATTAAATCAATCATAGATATGTATATGTAGATGCCTCATTAGCAACTGTTTCTGGGCTGCGATATGTAAACCATCCGCCATTTTTGGAACAGTCTGCGAACCTTTGAGCACGTTGACTGTGTGCGTCTACAACAGCAAGTTATACGCTTGTATATCTTTGAATACTCACTGATAACTATGGTCAATGATGTCAAGTTGACCGTTCCAAAATGGCGGACACGTCAACGTATCTGGAGCGGTCGAATAGGATCATATTTATGAAATCAATAGCCTGTTAAGTCTTTACTGATATGTGGTATAAAAAGAGTTTATAAAAATAATACTGGACGGTCAGCCTTCCAGTCATGCTAAAACACACATACTTAATTCATTAACATAGCATATCCTCTTAAAGAAACAAACCCAACAGATACAATGTTTCGACTGCTCTCCCCTTAATTATCCACTTTTAATCAGTTTTCATTTGTTTTTATGTGTTGCCTTTCATTCCAACTAATACAGGAATCAATTTGATATACGCTTCCATGCACTTCTTAAAAAAAGCAAAAACAATATAGTGCTACACAAATATTCCACACAAAGTTGAAGTGCTGCTTTTTGTGTTTTTAACTCCATTATTTTTTTCCCTTTCAATATACAATATTTCAGACCAGCCCAATAATCTCAGCGAACATTTTCCTTGCTTCCATTGTAATATCGCCAGGAAGAGGGTATTCAGGGGGTCGGAGAAATCCCCGAGACACAAAACAATGATTATCTGAGGGCAAAAGTGCTGAGAGCGGCCGTGCCACAATGTTGGAGGGGTTTTAGATCATTAGCCAGCCTCTCTGTGTCTCTCTAATACCCAGAAACGCTGTCTTTGTGCTTAACCAAAGACAGGCCATTTAGGCCTCATGGCCCTCCATAAAGGCCTGCTTTGGCTGGAGACATTACACAAACCCCTGCGCCATTCCACACAGGGCCCGGATCTCAAGGGCCCTTCACATTTCAAAACCACTACACCCCAAGCGCAGCCACCTTTTGTGTGCAAGAGCAGCAGAAAAGAAAAGGAATTTGAACAGGAAGCAGCCTGAAAACCCATAATGGTGCTTCTGATGGACAAAGACGAGGAGCAGAGGAAGAAAAATCTTAATGAATTTAGCATCTTTCCAAGAAGGACACACTCAGTCTCGGCGCACTTTTTAACCCCCACTAAATCAAACCCTGACTCGCCTGCGGACACGCACGCAAACAGCCGGCGTCACGGCGGCAAAGCTTAAGCCCTCCAAAAGCAGACGCCTCGCACGGGATGATGTGAAACTCAGCCGCCGCATGACGTCAACCCGAGTGTGGCAGGCTTGGCCGAAACCCTCAAGAATGGCACGTCCGAGAGCGGCAAGGCGCCTGGCCAGTCAAAACGATACTGCTTATGGAGCCGTCATTTGATTAATGACTCATGTGTGATGGCCTGCGCAGTGATACATGACAAGCCAATGGAAAGAAGATCCATCAATGCAAATCCACAGCCGTCGCAGGCCTAACTCCAAGAGGCCGGCAGGGTCACCCTCTGTCACCTGACCCTTCTGTTCGAGCTCACTCCGCTCCATTTGCATTTTCTTCTAATGGCACAGACCTGGTCGCCCTGTCACTGATATCTTGTTTTTCTCCCCCAAGCTGTTCTATTTGCATCTGATAAAGCAATGAACACAAGCGATCCATCTAAGCTGACGCTTTCAATTCGTTATTTGCTTCATTTGCACACATAAACCTAAAAAAACAACATTCGTACGCAAACATCGTCCCATTTTAATCGCATCACCACCAAAGTGAATTAAAAAAAATGCAACCTCAACGACCGCCAATGCGAATAACGTTCCTGGGGACAGAATATCGCAGGACGTTCCAAAGTGTCAACCACTGAGAAATCGCCTGGCTTTAGGAGCATCTGCGGAAGACTTGAATTCCTAGAAAAAAGTTACACTCTCCCAGTTTGGGAATACTTTGATATACTCTGTTTCACCCATTCGTGTCTTTCGCGCTCGTCCAGGTTTCCCAGACATGCTCCTGTAAGAGCGTAGTTCACAGGAGGTAGGGATTAGGACAGGAGGGGAGGGGAGGAGGGGAAAAAAGAGGGATGAGTGGAGAGGAAAAGGAACAATTGCGGTACCGCCGCACTCAGGGGGAAGGCGCTGTCATGTCAAGTCTGCCTGTGCCAATTCCCAGAGCTATCATTATTAAAATACACACTTTCAAAGGAGGAGTACTACAAGTGGAAGTGGGGGGGAAGTAAGTAAAAGGAGAGGCCAGAAAGCGCCGGATAAAAGCAATCCCGGTGGACAAAGTGAAAACAAATTAAAAGAACCATTATAAAACACAGATGCTGCAAAGAAAATAAACTTCACAAGATTTACTGTTTTCAGAAGAAATCAGACATTGGTGGAAAAGTAATTTCTGGTTGCCTCTGCTTTTACAGTATCTGCTTGCTGCTATTTTCAGGCTTGCAGTGGGGTCAAGCCAGCCTATGTGAAAATGGCCAACTGCCAGTATTTTCCCCAACCGCCAGTGAATGAGAGTGCTTTTAAAGTGACAGCAGAGCTTTTTTTCTTGCAAAGTTTTTGGGTTGTGCGGCATCCGCTTTAATGAGCAGAAACATTGTATGAAACTTCCTGCTATTACCAGACATCGTGCCGTATGAGTATTTTCACCGTAAGACTTCAAACTGCATTATAAATTGGTATGTTTTCGGTTTCCCCTCGTGTGCTGATTTCACTTCAGAAGTCGCCGTATGATTACAAGCCATTACATCATAACCGAAATTATTCACTGCTGTATAATAGCAATATACGTATTTCTCCAAAAAAAAACACACGAAAGTATTCAAGCATGTAATTTATTAACCAAACTACATCCGAACGTCTTGCTACGAGGCTGTCTGAAATCAGATCCAATAGTTTACAACATGTCAGCGTTTACAGCTCATCAGAGGAGCACCTTGGTGACAGTGGGAATCTACACTCTTCAGTGGCTCAGATAACAGCCTTACTGAAACCATATGTGAGCGAGTTTGTTTGCAAGGCGATGTGTGTGTGAGAGGATGTTTCACCTCAGACGAGCAGACTTTGCAAACGGTGCATGAGAAGATGAACAGGAAGGCATCCGCAGACTCAATCAATGCACCTCGGCATGTGGCTCTGATCAGGAGCACGTAATCTGATAATGTCAATTTACTTATGGGTAAGTGGGAACCGTATTCTCTCCTCCCAGTCATGAACGCTGCAGTGTCATTTCAGACATGTTTAAATGAAACCCTATGCTGGTCTGTCAGAGGGGAAAAAAAGGAAATGTTTTAGTGAATAAGCTCAATTCAAAGCACCAGGATGTCAATCAACTCGCTGCCTGATAGCGTCGTAACAGCTATAGACACTGAGGGGCACACGGCACCCCCAATATTCAAATTAGTGGTTGAGGAATATGGGTTTACAATGGTTGATTCCTAAATTATTACATTTAATGCTGCTCAGATAAGAATCAGCGATATCACTCATAAGAATAAGCCAAAAATAAGAATCACTACACGACTAAACAAACTGATTTATAATAAATAAACATGTGAAAAAGAAACAAATATTAATAAAAACTATACTATATTAATACAAATGATAATTAAATAATTTGTATATTTTTAATATTTAAATATATATATATATATATCTACATGCATTAAATAAAATGTAATATAAATCAAATTATACAAGGCCCACTTAAAAAATTTTTTAAAAAGAGCAGCGCAATTCCAGTGCTGCAGCAGCTGAATGAAAAGGAAATGTGGGAGAATTTACTGACATTAACTCATTAATGTAATTAAAATATCTAGTATCCAACCACAACATCAACCCTGCAGAACTGCCAAAGTTCATAATTACAACCAAAATTACAAACTAAAGGTGGTTTTAACTGGTAGAACCCTGAAAAGAGTCTGTGTTAAATAATATCAAAGCATCTACAATAAGACATTAAAAACCAGACATTCCATCATTACTAGTCTTGATTTGACAATATGGCAAAAACATGCATATCCAACAGCTGTTTCAGCCACAAAATAGGCAATGTAATCCATTTATTTGCTTACCATAAAATTATACTGT